AAATTAAAAAGCATTGAGCTCTTATATTATGTCAAATTTGTAAAACCTGATTAATATTTTATATTTCATTACGTCTCAAGGTCAGGATTCGAATGTTGTGCTCCCAATGCAAACTGTACTACGATGGCGTTTGGTTGACTAGAATGAAAATGAAATATGATGGTATTATCATTTATATTTCCTATACATTTTTTTTTTTTTTGTAGTGAATGAAAGGAGAAAATGAATATTTTGAGAGAATATCATACTACTCCATCTTGATTACAGTGAACCAAATATTATTATGATAATTTATTGGTTTAAATTCTAACATACATATTGTTGTCTTCACAGCGGTCGTTAGTCGCATTATACAGTTTTCTTATTTCAATACAATAGCACTATATAAGCCATCTTGCTAGACTACATAAATATGTGTTTTATACTTTTTTTACTTGTGATCCTTTTTTTTCTTATTATTGTTTATGCGGGATTTGTTGCAAATATAATATAAATAATAAAATTGTCATTCTTTCTAATTGGTTAAGCTTTTAGATAAATTGATAATCAATAATTTAATATTATATTACAACAGATTCAATATGATTTAATTTTATATTAAAAAAAACTAAAATAGATATATCAGCTTTTTGGAATTGTGAGCTTTCTCTTTGATTCTGATCAGATTATGCAATTATTTGGGTTGAAAGCTTTCTAAAAATTATGGGGTCAACACATTGGGGATTGGTACGAGAAAAAAAAAATCTAAATATTGCAAATGGCCATGTAATCATATCAATTTAAATAAATTTAAACAATTAAAGAAGAATCTTAGTGGTTTTTTTATGGCATTAGAGTTTCATCATGATCAGTAGTGTACAGTAAGATAACCCAAAAAAATTCCATTTCAAAGGACATTCATAAGTGGTATATTATGTTAATTAGTGTACAATTTTATTGCATTACAATACATGAGTTTTACAGATCAAATTTTTTAATCTCTAAAAATGAAAATTTTGTTACAAAAGACATTTAAAAATCAATTTCTATCATCGTGAGAAAAATCGCTAAAAGATCGTTCCGAAAAATCAAAAACAAAACTTTTAGCAACAAAATTATGAAAATGCCACTAATAAATATACTTTTAGGAACAAAATAATTTGGTCTAAAAAAAGATTTATTTTTTAAGACAAAAAATGTGGTCCCAAAATTCATCATTAATGTCTAATTTTCGTTGCTAAAAATATAATGACACTTTTCGTAAAAAAAATATTTGGTTCTTAAAAAATAATTTTACCCTTAAATTTTAATTTCTAAAACTTTAAGTTTTTGTGGTGTTGGTAAATGCAATTATTATATTAAACTATAATATTATACTAATAAAATCTTGCCTTGGAAACTTTCTAGCTCTTCTGGAACTTCTTGATATTCTAAAACTTTGGTCTAAAATGGCTAGCATAAAAGAAATGATTAAACACACTGTCGATCTTAAACTATTTGCTCCATGTATTTTAGTTTTTGATATTTTAATTTTGTTAATTTCAATTCTCAACTTATTCAATTTTTATTTAAATAGTTTTTAGTGCTGTTTATGTCCAAATTTTATAACAAAAGTTGGGATATTTTTTGTAATAAATGACAATGTGTCCGGTTTTATTGGGTTTTGTGAGCCAGTTTTTAATTTTAAATTCAATTACTTTAGTGATATAACTTCATACTTTACTTTATCAATATTCTCTAGCAAGCATTTTCTGAATTTATGTGTATTGCATTTGCGGCGGAATGGTAACATTATGGCTCATCACTTGACACAAATGACAAAGAAAGCTCCAGACCAGCCGGTTTGGCTGGCAAAGGTCCCTGCTAGTTTAGTGCATATTTTGTCGAGTGAAGTTCCCATTTTATAGGGGGCCCGACTCTCCACCCTCAAAAAAAAATTAAAAATTAAAAATGTTCTCTAAACCTATTCTATTAGAGTTGGGTAGGGACAAACATTATCGGATCTGATTTTTTTGACAACAATTGAGATATTTGCCCATTGTGAAGAGGAAATGCTAACCTTTGGGCAACAATATTATTTCTTGGAACCCTTCTAGTCCCACAGTCTAAATTTTAATTAACTGGGGGGCATATATATATATATGGATGGATAGAATTTCATATGCAATCACAAGCACACAAAAAAATAGTTCTAAAATCTATGTCATTTTGAACATAAGCTAAAAATTAAGATTTTTTTTTTTTTGCTTCCACTGAGCTTGTGAACACGTTTTCATGTCTTCCACACTAGGCACCATTTGGCAATTATATGTTTTAGTTAAAAAGTCACTATAAATTATCATATCACTCTCTTTACTTTTTGTATATCTTTTTGTAAAAAGTCAAAAAGTTACTAAAATAGTTTGTTCTCAAACAGGACAGTCTAGATTTGAATAGAGATTTATAGAGGAAAAAAAGGGAAAGAAATTATCAAACTTCAGCTTCTATTTTTCCTTCTCTTTTTATTTTTCTCCACAAATTTCTATTCAAATTTAAAATTCAAACACAACTTAAGATATAAAATAAAATAAAATAAATTGCTATATCACCAAAAAATTTATATAATTTTTTTTTTTTTTCAGAATGATGTGGTAATAGCGTACTTGTAAGTTGTAAATCATTATTATAATAATGATATTATCAACAATGCTACAGACTTCCAACAAACACAACCTCACTCACCTGTGATTGGTCCAGGAAAGAAAGGAAAAAAATAAATAAAAACACATGATTGATCCACATCATTATTTGGGGGTCATGGGGGTCCCCAACTTTGGGGAACCCAAGCATTGTTGTGTTAAATAACAAAACCACAATAAATCACATAATTCTGTAAAAATTTCAGCTTATCTAGAATGCCAAAACTTCGATGAGTACTATCTATGTGGGTTGAAAGCATGTTCTTGTCTCATGCTAGTTCTTGAAAGCTAATTCATGAATCTTCTTCCAAACATTCAAACACACAAATGCATATGAATGATCAAAAGTTTCCCCACTGATTTGTTTTCACTTTTGCATTTGATTTTGATGATGATGATTGATCATTTGCATTCAAAAACATATATATTAGATAGCTTTTGATATTGAATTATTGGATAGACGCAAGACTGTGAGTCTTGGTGGTCACTTTTCCACCTATCTATGTGATTAAGATAATATCTATGCGATTAGGATAATATCATCATATATATTAGATAGCTTTTGATATTGAATTCTTGGGCCATTGGACGCCACACCTATCTTAAAACAGTTTTTTTTTTTTTTTTTTCAATTAAGTTTCAATTGTTATCTTTTTATTTTTAGTGAAGTATTTAAATATATTGATTAATTTTTTTATTTTTTAAATTCATTCAATCTATATATATTTTAAAATCCACTTAATCTAGAAATATACTTAAAAAGTACAATATTTGTGAAAAAAATCTATGAAAAATTCAATAAATACAAAAAAAAAATATATGAAATGAATTTTTGTTTTTTTTTTTTTTTGTGTATTTAGCGAATTTTTTTAAAAAAAAATTACAAATTGTACTTTTTAAATGTAACAGATTAAGTGGATTTAAAAAGTAATAAAAATTTTAATTAAAATATTAAATACGTTTTCTAAAATAAAATAAAAAACACGGATTGAATTACGATTATTTTTTTTATTTATTTAAACTGGGGAAATAAGATTTTTTGGTACTACATGGTTTATACTATGGACTTTATAGTTCGTAGTCAAAATAAAAGGCTTTGGTTTAGCTATAAATGGACATGGGTTAAAACTCCATGCACCACAAATCTGGCCAGGACCCAATGCTAGGCCCAACTGAAAATGACTAAAGCCCATTACTTTTTTGCAAGTTTGTAAGCTTTTGTCCAATTCCAACATGAACAGACTTGTGGAAAAAAAATTTAAAAATAAACCTGTAAATAAAATGTAAGTTTGATTTTACTAAAAAATTTTAAAATTTTCCTTTTCAAAACGATTCACTCAAAATTCTTGTGGTATAGTGAAGGAAAATTCTAACTTTCCCCCTAATGTTGGTATACATGCAAAAAGAGTGGTAAAATATGTAATAAAAATATATTTTAAAATTTGAACTTTTTGTTAACATTGTTTGGCACTTAACGAATGGCGAATGAGCGGTCGATAGCAAGACATTTTAATACATTAGAAAAAAAATTAAAGTTTGAAACATACTCCTTAAATTATTATGGTATTTTTTAGAAACTTGGCTTTGAGTAGGGATTTATAAAGTTTCCAAATCCAACAAAATTCTAAATACTAGAAGAAAGCCCTATGTTTCCAACAACGGGCAAAAAAATGATTTGAAAGGGAACAAGGAGCGCTTGTCAATATAACCCTTATTTCTTACTTAGGTGGTGTTTGGTTTTCTTTTTGGACTAAATAAGTACAAAAAGATTAAAAAAATTAAAAAATCACAAAAGGACAAAATAAGCAAAAAGACAAAAAAAAAAATACACCATTTCAAAGTCAAAAAGTCAAAAAAACCAAACAACTAAAAAAATCTCAGACTAAAAAAGTCAAAAAAATCAAAAAATAACTAAAAAAGTCATTACCAAACGAAGGCTTACTATGGTCGGGATCCTTCCCTCCCTAGGTGCTCGGCATTGTGTAAAGTGAAGAAATTCCCATCAAGGTGAAACTTAAGCAATGAAAAAGGGGGCCAATACTTGAACTAGAGGGGTGGCCAGTTAGTTCACCAATCTCCTAATCCAAACACAGCCTAAAGTTTTTGTTTTCTATTATTCTTTACAAAAACAAGAGAAAGCTTCGCATATAATAAACTGTCATACACATACATTAAAATTAGTTTAATATCCAAAAGAAAAAGACTCTAAACTCCTTTTCAAGAGGGAATGTTGCTTTAACTTTTTAAAGTTAACCAAGCATGGTATTGATACTCATGTAATCAAGTGGATGCAGTGTTCATTGCCCTAAAAATTCTCTCTCTCTCTCTCTCATTCAAAGCACAAAGCACCAAAGATTGTGTAGGATTTAATTATTCTAAATAATATAGAGGGGGGAAAAAGAACAGATTCATCTATACTTCTTTGTTGTTCCAAATAAGAAAAAAAAATACAAAAACAAAAGAAACAGAAAGATATGAGAGTGCTGAAGAGCAAATACAAACCAAAAACAATTACACCGATGGGAAGAACTTGTTGAGGTTTAAGGGCAGCCTATAGAACTCTTCACTCCTCGTGTCAGTCTTGAATGACCGGAACCTGTCCCACCAATGCATTCCCCTGTCCTTCCTAGTCGAGCTGTCTCTCCGGTGCAATGTGACATCTAGGAACATTGCCAACAAGCCAGCAATGAATGGCTCCGATGACAAAGGCACATTGATCATATCATTGAACTGCCAAAATCGCAAGTCATGATCTTAGGTAGGGGGAAAATCAAGAAAGAGAGTAATTCTAAGGTAGGAATATGATAATGGTGTTTGATATCTCATCGAAATGGTACATTGAAACATGAGCCCAAAAGTGGCACGAAAACATGACCCCCCATTTCTTACGGGAAGGAAGTAGGCCCTGAGAAACCCCCAAATGAAAAAAAGGGGCTTCCGGTGATTCTACAGCCTCGAAATGGTGTGATGAAATCTGTGCTCAACTGTGTCCAAAAACTGAAAATATATATATTCTGAAAACAATTCTTTTTTAAGAATACCAAAAAGTGATTTTTGAATTTTCCAAAAATATAGCACAAAAATAAAAACCAGGAGAGTTTTTAACTTTTTATAGCTTTTGTTTTCAAGAACTCACAAAACAAAAAATAAAAAACACAAACACAACTAAACAGGCCAGATAAGTTGGAGGGAAATACCCATCTCGCTCTGGTGTGGACAGGACCATAACCATTAACAGATGTGTACTCGTTGAAATACTGTGGAATTGATAAGCCCATGAAAATTGAGAATCCGAGTACAAACTTTGTTCTGAAGCTGTTCAAATTGCAAAACTGTAGGAAACTGAGACCTCCGGCACCTGTCCACTCATGGTTTTAAAGAAATAAAATTTGTTGCACTTTAATAGATTCATTCAAAAAAAAAAAAAGAAGCCGACATCATGGCTTGTAAAACTTACCTACGTAGGCAAAGAAAAGACAATACAAAGCTGCAACAATTGGAGGTGGAATTGAAGCAAAAATAGCTCCAAATTTCCCTGAAAAAGCCATGTATGTTAAACAAATAAACTAAGCTAGGTAGAGAAAGAGAACTACTCAAATTTTGTGCATTTTTTGGAATTCCTGGGATGTGAATAAGTTACCAAGTATGGAAAAGAATATCATGAAACCAGCAGAAATCTGCACTACTCTTCTGCTGCCAACACGTGTCAATGCGAGCAAACCGGCATTTTCACTGTTGAGGAAACAAACAAGGTTCTCAAGTTAATCTACTATAGGAATTCACTATGTGACGGATACAATTTTCCTGTCAGGTAGTGTTTCCCTTTTCTTTTTTCATCTTTTGCATTTTTGGAAACAAAAACGACAAAAGTTTGAAAATGCTAATCATTTTCATTTTTGTATGATGAGAACAGTTTCCAAGAAATCAACACAACTCTTTAGTTTTTTCCTATAAAATTGGTTGTTTTTAGAACATTTTTCCTAGAACAGTTTTCGAGAACAGTTTGCCAAACAAGTGTTTAAATTTCGAAAAATGTAAAGAGAAAACAGAAAAGGAAAACAAAACAAAACAGGCAAAATGTTTCCAAGTACATTGGTTTTCTGTACAAGAATCTTACACGGATACTGATGATCCATTCCCAGTTCCAAATATTCCGGAGAACAATATGCCCACTCCCTAGAACAGGAAAAGTGAAAGAAAAGATAATCAAATTAGAACCTATATGTAGGAAGGTAAGAATTACCCAGTATTGTAATTAATATTCTTGGTGAGAAAAATTGAACAAAGTTTACAAAACTGCAACAAATTAAAGGTGAAAAACTACCGAATATTTTCTTTTAATGTTTTAATGCCGGTATTAGGAAGTGTTAACAAGGCAAAAATAGAGGATGAGCAATCGTTAGTCCAATTACCTGCCAACCAACACCGCGACTGAGAACAGAAGGTGGCACTGGAGTTGCACCAGCATAACTCGACACAGCATAGAAGGCACCAGTAGACTGTAAAAAATGTAAAATTGTGTACGAAAAGAGTAAAACTTCATTCACATCACTGAAAAACTACCACCTCTGAAGAGGTGAAAAATGCCCGTATGAACTTTGATAAAAGATTTCATTCCCATAACTAAAAATTCTACCCCTAGACTAACAGCACGAAAAGAGATTGGATAAAGAATAGAAATCTTCACTAGAAAATGACTAGTATATGAAGTTATGAGAAGCAATCCAAACATTCAATTATGTACTCGGGCTGTATTTTACAATCACAGGAGTAAAAGCCTGTCAACAAACCTCTACAAGAGCAACAAATGAAGCCGCCATCATAGCGAAAGCTTCTCCAGCATCAAATGTGGGAGCTCCCCATTGAAATGGATATGGAACACTTATCCTGCACCCAACATGCACTACAAAATTAAAAAATGAACAAAAACGTTACCCCACCACATCCTCCCAACCTAGGAGAATATCTTAAATTAACTGTAATTCATGTCTACATAAAACATCGTAAAGGAGATGCTAATCTCTGAATCTGAATTAAAGAGAAAAAAATTAATTACCATGGAGCAGCGCCTATAATTCCTGCACGGTCTGTTCGGCAACTTGTTTGAGTTTTTGTTGGTGTGTTCTTATACGCACCGCCCACAGTGAGTAGGTGAGCATAGATCCAAACAATAGCAATTGAGAATATAACAGCAAAGCGATCAAAGATTTGTTTATCTCCTTTCATTAAATGAGGTATATACTGCATAAAAAGCATTGACAGCATTAACAATAGCACATGAGTTGAGATCACATATGACAGTTCAAAAAAACTTGCTGATGACAGTACAAAACACCAAATTGAAAGTAAGACCATCACCTGTGAAAATATTACTAGAAAGATAAGCTGGGGCAGTCCAATTTCCACGCATCTCGTAAGCTTCACATTCGAATGCAAAAATCAAAAACCAACAATGATAAACATGCAATAATGAAGAGAAAAGGTAATAGACTGAGGGTCTTGTCAATGTGTGCCCTACTAAACTTTGTTCATTCAAAAGGAATCACATAGATGCATACCAGAGGAAAACCAAACTCATATAGCCCAAAGCCAGACAGGGCTACCAAAGGAACAACAGATAGAGGACACACGAACCTACAAAAAAAATAAAAAATAAAAACCATAAAGTATCTGAGATAATTACAAGGACATTACATGAAACCATGATAAGAAGATTCCGTAAGTGGATTTTGATTGTTTCTTGGTCCAATTTAGCTATGATATGACATTTTATGAATTGGGCAATTACTAGAATTTCATATGAAGGTTTTGACCAACCTGGCAACATTACGCCAAAGGCCACTAAAACCGATGACGATCTGAAGAGTTGACGCAACAATAAGGGCTCCCTGGATACCTCGCATTATTTTCTCAAATTTCTGCAAAATCATCACAGAAAAATATCAAACTTGCATAAATGTAATAAACATGAAGTAATATGTGGAAGTCAATGGGACTTATCAAGCAACCTCCTGAGGATTTAAAATGTCATTATATCGACCAGCCAAGATAATCGAAAGTGTTGTAGGCACAAAGGTGTAAGACCCTCCAATCACAGCAGGTAATCGGGTTCCAAAAAATGTCTGAGTCAATGTGTTCAAGCCAGCAACAAACAGCAGTGTCTGAATCACCTTCGCTTTCTCTACCTGATTAGGCCAACAATTGATTACCAATTCGATTGATGAAAAACAGCTAATTATTTGAACCGAAATCCATTACAACAAAAAATGAAATTTGAAGAATTGTTTGTGGAACTGCTGTTGTTATTGTCAAAAGTCTTACATTTCCTCCTCCCATCTGGGGAACCAGATTGGAGGGAATCAGAACCGTTGTGCCAAGCATCACAAGATAGTGCTGGAACCCAAGTAGTATGGCCTCAGCTGCATTCAAAAACAAACCCACAATTCAGAAAAAAAAAAAAAAAAAAAAAAAAAAACACACACACACACACACACACAAATAAATAAATAAAATAAAATTACTGATGAAAGACAAATAGAGGTTCAAGAACAAAACCCAGAAAAAGGCAAATAGGCTTTTACTAAATTTTACTGATGAAAGACAAATGCAGGCTCAAGAATTATTACAAAAAAAATTTAAAAAAAATTGAATATATTGATTGTATTCAATAGGATTTTACAAGCCTACCAATGGCAGCAAAAAACATACAAGATTTTCTCCATGAAGAGAAACAAAACTAATAAATAGGTTAGTTACAATTCACTTAGGCACTAATACAGAATACGGGTTCCAAAGAATTGAATGTATAAATATACACACATGTACATGTCAATAAAACAGGGGAATGAAACGAACACAACCCACAAATCATAAAGGTTTTGTGGGTTAGTTTCAAATGAGATTCATAGTTGAACAAAATGTATATAAAAGCTATGAAACCAGTGATTTCAAGAAGGGAATGTGTAGATACAACTATATATATGTAAAAAAATTTGAAAGAGAAAATGAGAGAAACTGACGCCAAGGGGGAGGACTGGTAATGCAGAAAGATATGTTGGGAAGCTGGTCTTTGACTGGATGTGGCTGCAACTCGTCCTGCTTTGGCGGCGGCGCAGCTCCTCCTCCACCACCACCGGCGGCCATGGTTTTTTCTCGTCCCCTGTTTTTTTCTTCCTTTCTCTCTCAGTACCCAAAACTCTGCACAAAACCCAAATCCCAAATCTCTGAAAATGAATATCTGTATTAAGAATTTGTCACTAAAATCCAGAAAATCTCACTCCCCAAAAAACATCCTTACCACCCTAACATTCTCAGCTGTATTGTAAGAAGAATGTATTTTTTTGCTGTAGGTATGTATTAATGAGCTATATGAGCCAAAATGATGAGAAGTGGAACTTTTCTCAGAAGTTTATTGAAGAAGCAATGGAGAGCAATGATGTAGGGATGTATCACTACCCAAAGCCCACTTCTTGAAAATCAAGAGAAGCAAAAGAAAAAGGGAAAAGCAAATACAAACCAAAAAAGAGAGAATAATAATCTTACAATTATCACATATTTTTTATCGTATTTTATTTATAATTTTCCTTTTATGATTCAATATAAAACTTGTATAATAAGTTCTCTCTTTATTTATTTTTAATACAATGCTGATACATGGAATGAATAAGATACGAAATAAATAAAAAATAAGAATATACAACTATAATATTTATGCAAAATTTTTATATAAAATGATTTGTTTTTTAGTGTTTCACTTTAAACCGGAACACTAAGTTATGATTAAAAATAAGTATAAAAAAAATTACATATTTATAAATTATGTTTTATAAAGCAAAATACCCCTATCCTATGTGCCTCTAGTCCTTCAAAAGAATCTCTTTATTAACAAGTTAATTAATTATTTGGGTTCTACACTATAGACTCTGCACCTTCTTTTTCTTCTCTCAAGTAAAGATAAAGTTCAAAGGCATCTCTACTTTCACCTTTGTCAATCTTTTTACTTCTACACACTTCAAAATATATGCTCTGACTTTTTACTATAGTCCGACCGTTATTGAGACTTTTGCATCGGTTAAATACGTAATGCCTGAAACTAATTTTGATTAGTTAATTCGATTAATTCATTGATCATACTGTTAACACCATAAATCTGCAATTTTATTATTATATAATTGCAAGACACGTGGCATCCTCTTATTCATTTGGAAGTTAAAAGAAGTTATAAAGATAATGGAGAATATGAAGGACAAAGTGGATGAGTGGGAGGACAAAGTGGATGAGTGGAAGGACACATTTGAGGTTTTTATAAAAAAATTTAAAGAGAGAGAAACTAAGAGTTGGTTTGGGATGTTCTATAAAAGTACACTTTTTGACTTATTGGCTTATATGGGTTGAGTTTGATGTGATGTATTAGAGAGATGATGTGATTTAAATAAGATGATATGACTTAAATAGGATAGTGACTTTTTGACTTTTTATATTATTTAATGTATGCCAAACTAACCCTAAAGGATAATCGACACAGCCCATCCTCTTTGTCCTTTGGTTTCTTGCAAGACAATTCAAATATGTTGTGCGCCTTTTTTTCTTTTTTCTTTTTTTCATCATTAAATTTACAAAACGTTTTTGGAAAGACAATTAACAACCTAATTTTATATATAATATATTTGAGGGTTATTTTTTGGTTAATTTAACCAGGTTAAATTAGCTATGTTTAGAAAGAATTTTTGATTTTTTTTTATTTGAATGTGATGATTGTGAGAAAAAAAGTAAAATAATTATGATTTAAATTTGACATTTTGTCTTATTAGCCTATTTTAGAGTTTATATGATCCTACTTTTTTCCTTTTCTATACTTGAATTACAAAAGTGTAATTATGTAGAATTACACATTTTCATCTTACTCCATCGACAAAATATATGGTTGAATGAATATTTTATCTTTATGGCGAGCAAATTTAAAATTGTAGAGTCAAATTTAAAATATGAGAATATAATAAAATGAATAATTTTAATAAAGTATAATAGCTCAATTTTGAGAATGGGGATCCAAAGCGACATCCGGTTGAGAGATTAAGGAGGAGTTCAAAGACAAAATAGGTGGAAATAATCACTAGCTAGGTCACCCACCCAAGAAACGCAAGTATGAGAAGTTATTTAGTGATTTAGGAGTATTATTTCATATTATATAAATCATGACATTTGTTATGTTATCGCCTTACAAGAGATAAAAAGTCTTGAAACTTACTATTTTAACCAATAAAATACATATTGGAACACCATTTAAATTTGTCCTGAAGCAAACTATAACTTCTCCTCTGAGCATATGCAGCGGGCATCATTTACCTTCTCTAAAGTGGAAAAAGAATGATGCTCTCTCCTATTTAACGATAGTTTAGGAATAAAGGAATAATAAAAATAAGGATAAATTATAAATATAGGAAATAAAATAGACAAAAAAATAAATAAATAAAATAAATGATAGTTTTTTTTTTAAGATCCCTAGTATTAAGATTTTATAGCACGAAAGACATCTAATATTTTCATAATATCTAAGATCTTTCAAATTGATCCAGATAAACTTCATCCAACAAATTTCTCTGAGCTTTCCAAAGAAATTTTATCCACAGAAATTCTTTCCAACCCAAATAAATTCTCTGTTTCTCTTCAGAGAAATTTCGATTTTGTTGAAAAAATCGCTAATGCAGAGAAAACCCAATACCAGAGAAATTTAAACAACCAGAGACTTACTAGAGAAATTCTCTGTTTCTCTCCAGAGAAATTTTAATTTTATTAAAAAAATCGCTAATGCAAAGAAAATCCAATGTCAGAACCATAAATGCAATAAGAACAACCAATTTGGAGTTGAAAAGTACAAATCAAACCCAGAGAAATTCTCTGTTTCTCTCTAGAGAAATTTTGATTTTGTTGAAAAAAATTGCTAATGTAGAGAAAATCCAATACCAAAGAAATTTGAACAACCAGAGACCTACAAGAGAAATTTTCTGTTTCTCTCTACAGAAATTTCAATTTTATTGAAAAAATCGCTGATGTAGACAAAATTCAAAGTCTAAACCATAAATACAATAAGAACAATCAATTTGGAGTTGAAAAGTACAAAGCAAACAAAGAGAAATTCTCTGTTTCTCTCCATAGAAATTTCAATTTTGTTGAAAAAATCGCTAATGCAAGGAAATCCAATACCAGAGAAATTTGAACAAAGCAAAGACCTTCACATAAGTCTTCTCCTAGTTCTATCCCTGGCTAAAAACCGAAGTCCACAAACAGAGTCTGCTCACTCACTCTCTTTTGATGAATTGCAATAGAACTACAACATAACAAATATGCTCTAACAAACACACTCAATTCAGCATTCTCATCAATTGTCTACCAAAAAAAAAGTCCATAATTAGAGCAAAAAAAACTGACCTTACCACTGACGACATCGTCAGCGAACTTGCACACAGCTTCAAGCATGTTCTCAATCTGCAACCACAAGATCGACTTTAGAGCAAGCTTAGGGTTTCAAAGCCAATAATGCCCAACCATTTGCCCCTCATTAGGATTCGCAATCGATCCCCTTTTCAAGCTCTTCCATGGCTTTGAAAGCCGCTTGAAACTTGGGCTCTATCTCCTCTACGAACTCGTCTGTGAATCTGATTTGACTCACATCCAAATACAACCCCAAATCCTTGTGTTAATAGAGCTAGTCAACGTATCTTCGCCACAGCTCTCTCGGATTTTTCAACAACCCTTTCTTCTTCTCCTTCGACAAGCCATCGCTGGCCCTCGACAAGCTCGCTGAGATGTCTCGAGCTACGGATTGAGAAGAGAGAGTTGAAGCTCGATCGATTCCAGTGTCTTGAAGGTGAAAAAAATGGAGAATGCGATTTCGACTCTGAATTTGGTTTTGGATTTGGATTTGGATTTGGGTTTGGATTTCGATTTCGATTCTGATTCGTTTTTAGAAAAGAGATTTTGGGAGGTTTGGATTTAGAGAGAAAGAGGGGGAGAGAGAGAGAGAGACGAAATAGGAAAGACAGAGAGAGAAATGAGATTTGGTTTGAGAGAGTCAAATTTCTCTATAATATATAGGTGTAGGGCTGAGGGACCTTAGACATTATAAAATAATATTTTGGATCTCTCCCATTACTAAAAATGGAAGAGGGACCTTAAACTAATTTTTCTTAAATTATAAATACACTTTTTAAAGTTTATTTAAAAAGATAAATCGTTAATAAGTCTTAATAGTTAGACTTAATTCTCATCAAGTATTATTGAAAATAAGTCCTAGTAAAATTGACGTTAAAAATAATTTTTTTGTAACAATTTTTACATATGATGCTAAAAATTGACAATTAGTGACTTTTTTTTGTTGTGATATTTATAAATTGTTGATAAAACTTACAACTGGCCTCATTTGAAAATATGCTATTTTAGTAATTTTTTAACTTTTTATGACAAAATGTGCAAAAAAAAGAGAAAATGATGTGATAACTTATAATGATTTTTTAGCTTTTTGAGTAAAATATATAATTGACAAACGAGACCTTAGAGACGCTTTTCTGTGATGAATTTTTAAAACTATCACTGAAAATTGAAAATTAATGACTTTTTTGTGATATTTTTTTAAATTGTCGCTAAAACTTATATTTAATGATATTTTGTGACAAAATTTTTAAACTATCGCTGAAAATTAAAAATTTGTGACATTTTTTAACACTGTTTGATGAAAAACTCCATCAATTATCATGAAACCTATTAGATAATAAGTCCACCTATTAGCAGTGGCGAAGCTAGGAAATTAAATCAGGAGGGGCATTTATTAATTACAGCTTTTTTTATTTTTTATTTTCAAAACCAACAATAAGGAAATAAAAATAATTTTTGAATTAATATTAAGTACAAAAAATTAAATAAATTGTTACAAAAGTATTTCACATAAAATTTTACAATTAACTTCGAGTAAAATCGAAAAAAAAGTATTGCATGTAACTAATGTATCATGGACAATGTAAAAATGTCATATATTTAAGTCATAAAATAAATTATATAATGGTCAGATAAATCAAATTTTTACAAAATTTGAGTAAAAATTTCATGTAATAGTGATATCACGTCATTATTGATATATGATATTACCAACCAATAGTAAAGTAACATATAAAGAGTGAACTCCACATGCAAATATAACTAACACTCTAGTAATCTTTACATAAATGTAGTCAGATTAATTATATTTTCATATCAATAATGATGGATATTATTTTTATATTGAGATTTTTTCACGAAATTTTCATACATAAAAATATAATTTGTTGTAGTCACTTTATTTTCAATAAAACAATCACTATTGTTTTCATAAATTTAAAAATGACCTTGATATTTTATTCTAAATATTATTTTTGTTTAAAATTTTACTTATATATATATATATGTAAAAAAAAATGAAAAATCCACGGGGGCATG